AAAATTTGTTTAGAAGCGTATAAGTGGTACAAAACTTGATAGATTGTAGTCCAACATTATGTATGCCTAGAAGCTAAATTATATAGATGCATTCCTATGCTTGATAATAAAGTCCTATAAATAGAAAGTAAAATTACTACTTAATACTATGACAATTTTTGTATTTTAATAGATTTTGTTAACATTTATATAAAAAAATCGGTTTAATCTATACATACAAATAAAATTGGAGTGTCTGTTTGTAATATTGAAATAACCGTTTTTTATTACATGTATATGAATATAAATACACTACGATAATTTTTTCTCTGTCTATCTGTATGTTCCGGTTTATCTCTGAAATAGCTGGACCGATTTCGACGGGACTTTTATTGGCAGGTAGCTAATGTAATAAGGAGTAAGTTAGGCAACTTTTATTAAAAAAATATTTTAGAAAAATATAGTTAAATTTAACGCAGACGACGTAGCGGCAACAGCTGGTATTAAATACATTTATAGCGCTTTGATTTGACTGTATATTGTGGAACTTTTGTTTAATTAAGTAACTATTTCACTCATGTGATATTTTGCTTTATAACTGAAACGACAAACACGTCGACGGCCCTTGGTGGTAAGTGGCGCATGTATCGCGCACCAAATTCAATATTGGGTTCACTCAGTAATTTATGTTTTTTTTTAATTAGACTTTATAATTAAAACTATAGAGTGGACTGTCGAAGCTTGTAATTTTTCAGTTAATCCAGTACTGAACTATAGATAGCAATATAGGAAGCCACGGCATTATGTGATGCCCGTAGCTGATACTAGCTCATACTAGCCTAAATGGGGTAAGACAGAGGTACCAACGTGACTCCTTAGAAAGTCTAGCTCTAGTAAATTGGTTGAATAGTGCTACCTGGTTATATATATTCTCACATATTTTTATAATGGAGTAGTAAACAGCCCTGGTTATTGGAAAGAATTCTTGGACATGGATTAAGACATGACCAGGCCTTTACACTTGTAGCTCTGGCTGGCTCGAACTATCGGGAGTTTATAATTACATAACCACAGGATATATCTAGATTATATAATATGTAATTAACCATGAAAAAATGTAAAATGAATTCATGATGTACGTTCAGAGCTCTAAAAATAAATTGTAATAAAAAACAGACATAAATTTTCATTACGTGAACACGGTATCATTATACCGAAGCGCAGAAATGACGGCCTAATATATCCTAATACATATTATATATATATAGGTATAGCATAAGTATAGATGATTAAAATGGCCACTTGACGCGTATCTTCTAGGAAATCAATAATCCGAACGGTGAAACTGAACAAGTGTGTTAATAGACCGTTTTCAATGCGAGATACATTTAGATACCTTATATTATAAGATATTGTTTAGAGGTTTTGTCACGAAGTGCAAACTCAAAACTCAAACTTAGAATATTGATATGTATATGCCAATTCAACATTGTATTCACGTTACAATTTTTATCATTGTCCCATCATTTTATTTTATTTTCACTTGAATGAACATTCAAGTAGTGACTTAAGATGATTAGTAGACTAGTGATTGATAACAAGTGATTTCACTACCATTTCTAGTTCTCGTAACCTGAACGGTATATATATATATATGTATATGCTTGGCATCTCCGAATGAACGAATGAAATATATATATATTTTTGCAGACATCTTTGCACAAAAATTTCCACTAATAAATATAATTTAACCAATGGAATTGCAATAGAGCATTAATTAGTGTGAGATACCTATTAAACGGGTTTGAATGCAAAATAAATTCAATTATGATTTTCCTAAAGTGGCTATTTTAATGTCCCTTTACCATTTATATTCATTATCACTAACCACAGCCGAGTGCTAACGAGCCGCGCTCTCCTGTGACTGTCACACGTGTGACAGGTGGCGGGACCCTTTGTAATACTTTGATCACGTATTCAACTCCGCCTACGTCGCTTTAGAGAAGCCTTATTTATTTTATAGTATACTAGCTAGCCACCCCAGCTTTGCACGCATGTATATTATACATATAAACGTTTCTCTTAAACCACTCTATCTATTGCTAAAAACCGCATTATCAGTTGCGTAGCTTAAAAGATCTCAGCGAACAGACAACGATTAAGATTCATTAAGGTTACATTTACTACATTGACCCCAGCGGAATCGACTTTATTTTATATTATGTGAAGATTATGATACTGATCCTATCCACATATTCTGAGGAAATTTTAAATGCATAATCGGTAGGTCTTGGAATAGGTTGTGCCTATTTTTTATACCTCTAAAAGATGGCCCATACCATTTTTAATTTATGAGAAGGTTCCGATTTCTTTATGATGTGGTAAGACCACATCATAAAGAAAAAGTACATTCACATACCTAAATCTTCACCATTCTACCACTGACCCCTATTTTTTTATATCTATATCTAAATATATATAACTGAAAGGTGACTGACTGACATAGTGATCTATCAACGCACAGCCCAAACCACTAGACTGATCGGGCTGAAATTTGGCATGCAGGTAGACGTTATGATGTAGGCATTCGTTAAGAAAGGATTTTGATTAATTCTACCCGCAAGGGGATAAAATAAGAGATAAAAGTTTGGATGCAACTCTGTCAATTTTAAACCGATCGGGCTGAGACTTGGATGCATAAAGCTACTATGACGTACGCATCCCCTAAGAAAGGATTTTAATAAATTCCACTTCTAAGGGGATAAATTAACGCGAGCGAAGCCGCGAGCAAAAGTTAGTTAATTTATATGACAAAACAACATTTGCCGAATCAGCTAGTTATTTATAAAAAGAGTTTCCTCTCACCCAAAAGCCTAAATGGTCACGTACAGTGCGGTTATAGAGGTGTTTCCCTCGCGATCGTTCAGGCTGTGAAATCAGCTTCCTGCCGGGGATTTCCTTAGAGAATACAGCTGGGGGTTGTTGAAAAAGGTAGTATTAAGGTTACTTGAGGGTCGACGACGCACGCACGTAAGGCCATTGGTGAACGGCTATATACTTAGTCTGTATGAGTCACTTGCCACGTTGCAATATATATTTAAACAGTTTTATATTAATACAAACTATCACACAATGTTTTGTTATACAATTATTAAACAGTATTATTTGTAAATAATCAACATCGAAGATTTATAATTTCTTTTAAAAGTAATAATACTGAGACATAAAAGCACATATGTATCACTACTGCAACACTGTAACATCATGTATTTAGAAATCCATAGACAATAACCTTTTAATATAATAATAATATAAAAAAAAAATCTCCTACAATCACATTACGGACATTCACATATTATTTAATTTATTATAAAAAGAAATATATTTAAAAATAACTAAAAAAATCTAATAATTATATTTTTACAATGACCTTATCTCAAATTGGATGTGATATTACAAAAAAATAACAATTCTGTGTTTTGTCTCTGAGATAAATATAAATAAAGATTTTGTCCCCAGTTTACTGCTACCCATATGGGTAGTAAACGAGTATATACTAGTAGACAAATTGGGTCACAGATAAAACTGGATTGCACGTTAGTCCAATAATGACGTAGAGATAGTTCAATGCTACCACAAAATATCGACTTGCCTGGGAAACGAAAGCTGCTGTAATAGAAGGAAATTAGTGACACTGCAATTAATGTAATTGTTTGATAGATAAACATTTAGCTATCGATTCGTTTAATATTTTAAGTGGTTTATGCTATTATCTTAATTATATTTATAGCCAGACACTATACCTATATAGTATTGTGTAGGGACTAGTTGCATTGAAATTGTTTATGGCGTCAAATAGGTTAAGTGGAACCATAATGATATAACTTTATACATCCGTTTGTCCATCACAGCAATAAATATCGAAAACTATGAATGCTATTATTTTCTTTGGACGAACTCATACTGGTATTTTAAATTACAAGATATAACGTTAGATTCCCAAGTGCCACCAAAATGAGCAGGAATCAACTAATTTCTTAGACCAGTAATTACTTTTAAATCAAATCAAATCCAACCAAAATATCTTTATTCATATTAGGTATATTATATATATTCTTCCATTCATTATTTTCTCTACCTAAAGGTCGTCTGGAAGAGATTGCTTCTTCCGATAAGACCGCCTTTTATACATCCATATCGCTTTTCTGTATAATTTTTATTATTAATTCTATTGGTGCAATAAAGAGTTTGTAAATAAATAAATAAAATATATTACAGACTCTTCTGATATGTCAAATCTACCGTCAGTTCGGATTGCTTACGAAATGAAAAGAATTGACAAGAATCTCAGCTCGTATTCTTATCAAATAAATATTATACATGTTTACAGATTTTTACAATAATACAGATTCATTTTTAAATTCAAATTTGGGAGAATGCAGTAACCACCAGCATACGCTATAGCAATTTCGTTAAAAAAAATAGTCTAATCAATGTTCATAACCCGAACAGACTAGTCCCTGCAAGCAGCATCCATTCACCAGTATGGCGGATAAGCCAGCCATCATTTCACTGAACTATATATATTAGAGGGAACACATTGATTCGGCCCACTACGCCGCCACAAGTTTGAACTTTATAGTGAGCTTGACTGCTTCAAGTAAATTACCATTACAATGAATGAATCTATCAAAGAATAATATTAATAATGTATACTAAACGCGAAAGTTTAAAAATAAGTCAGACCGCTAGACCTCGGTGGTCTAGCGGTCTAGCACACCGCTTTACGTCCGATGGTCGCGGGTTCGATTCCTCGCACGGCACAAACATTTGTATTCATGAGTATGATTGTTTGTATCGGTCTGGGTATTTTCTATGTATATTATGTATGTATTTACGAAAAAAAAAAATCTATGTCCTTGTATCAGTTATCTAGTACCCGTAACACAAGCTTTAGATAGCTCAACTCGGGTCTAGATGGCGCTGTGTAAATTGTCCTGAGAAAAAAAAAAAATACTTACTCGCGTAGTATCCAACGTCATTGTTGACATTAATATGCCCTGCATCCTCAGCGGCGAGCATGTGGGTGTCCCACACGGACCGGTACTCTGGGTCGTGCAGCACATCATACAAGGCTTCGGGTTCCACATCGTCGAACTCAGCTACAACCTGAATATAAATAAATTCTTTAATTTTAATTGTACTTTAGACCTAATTGCGCGGTTGTCTACTTTTTTTCTAGAAAGGCAAGCTAACTATCCTTATAGAAATGGGGAACCGTCTTCTCTATGTACATGAGCAACACCATGACAACGAATTCAAACGGGGGTCGGAATCACAACGACCTGGAACGAGGTTCGATCACTAGCAGTGGCCCCAGACTAAAATCGTAACCGTCAGTTCGCCTTCAGCTGCTCCGTAAGTCCTTCCACGGATTTGAAGGACCATCTGCACGCGCTCGCATTGTTTGGTGAAGCTTTATGAGCCTACTGAGGATCATAGCATTAGAATAGTTCGCGAAAAGATCACCACGTACACTCGTGATTCCTCGTTGCATTTCTCAGGAATAAGGTGTTATGCCTCTATAGTTCTATATCCTGTAATTACACTACCGTATCATTTAAACTGGAACAGAATTTACAAAGCAAGTTGCTAGCGGCGAAAATAGATGAAACAGAGATAGCCATTTTAATACAAAGTTTAGTTGAAAAGTAAAACAAAACGACAATGAATGCAAAGCCAGTTGCAATGTAAGTACATTGTTAGACTGCAATGTTGTCGTATAAAACAAAATACGGAGTACAAACGATGGAAGGTAATGAGTTTTTCTATTTCAATCAATTGCGAAGTAACTTAAAGAAAACAATGTCCACCTTATATTTATAATATCGTTTCTTAATTTTAAGCTACTTTTAGTTATTTCTATAGTAATACTAAATGACTGGACATATTTTGTGTATGGTTATAATTATTTTTAGAAAAAAAACTAACATACACATATATATAATCATTAAACATTAAAAAAAAGAATACGATAATGAAAGTATTTTATTTTAGAAAATATGAATATTTTATGATTCGTCCCCCCGTGAACATCTGTTACAAACGCTGTTATTTCTCGCCTTTCTATAAAAGCTAACATTTCCGTAACGCGTTTAGAGGTTTTCCCCATTTCCCATAGTATATAATGGGAAAGTTTACGCGTGGTTTAGAGGTTTTACCCATTTCCCATAGTATAAAATGGGAAATTTTACGCGTGGTTTAGAGGTTTTACCCATTTCCCATAGTATAAAATGGGAAATTTTACGCGTGGTTTAGAGGTTTTCCCCATTTCCCATAGTATAAAATGGGAAATTTTACATGTGGTTTAGAGGTATACCCCATTTCTCATAGTATAAAATGAGAAATTTTACGCGTGGTTTAGAGGTTTTCCCCATTTCCCATAGTATAAAATGGGAAATTTTACATGTGGTTTAGAGGTATTCCCCATTTCTCATAGTATAAAATGAGAAATTTTACGCGTGGTTTAGAGGTTTTCCCCATTTCCCATAGTATAAAATCGGAAATTGTATAATAGCGTATGTATATCTGCAGAATTTTAGTAAATAAGTAAGGTATGTGTTCTATATAAGTAAAATTGTTGAACATAAATAAATCCTACCATTCTCAGAATAGAAATTTACATAATAATAGAAAATTGATAAGATCCTGGTATGTGTTATTTAAACGACTAAATAGATTGAAGTGAAATTTTGTACGCAAATAGACTATATAAATAAAAATCTTCATTAATACTCACAAAGCCAATGCAATTATATGTAGATAGATACAAATATAAAGATATTCAATATTGGATACCAATATGAACTTGCCGCAATAATACCCAAATATCGTTTGCATAAATAGGTCGTTTATGGGAATAGGTATCAAATTCTACAATATAATACCAAAAGTAATATCTTTTAATATAATTTTTATGTCGTATTATAATATTATTTACTAGCTACCCCTTCCGGAATTTCACAGACACGATTGTATGATTGATTGTGTGTTCTATCTATTTTTTTTTAATAAAATACGGTCCAGTATTCAATTAATAACACTTATCAATTAATAAATAATAATTAAATAAATAACCCTGAACAATTTACACAGCGCCATCTAGTCCCACGCTAAGCAGAGCTTGTGTTATGGGTACTAGTCACTAGGCAACTGATATAAATACTTAGATATTTTTTTTGTAAACAGATAAATAATATAAATAAAATGCGCCCAGACCGACATAAACAATCATACTCATGAATACAAATATTTGCAGTGTGCGAATAACCGAGCCCGCGACCATCAGAAGTAAAGCGATGTGCTAAACCGCTAGACCAACGAGTCCTTTAACATAATTATATAAAAATTTCATTTCCATACACAATTACACATTTTACAATCTGATCGCAATCCTGTTATACGCTTAGCGTTCTACATTCGCGTTGATGTTGATGGATTAATATCGTGACCAAATACGAGCACTGGAAATACAAATAATTTATATATAACTTAATTTGTATATTTTTAACGTGGTAGTGTATATATATAATCATCTGCATACTCTGACTTACCTATTCCTGCCGCTTAGCTGCCAACAAACTGTTTTTTTTACGAAACTATTATTAGTATGTGGTAACTGCCGCCTATTATTTATTTTTAAACTTATATAATACACATTATTAATATAGTTAAACGGATTTTAACACGTATCTATAGCTTTACGGTAAGCTAAGCAGAGCTTGTGTTATGAGTAGTAGGCAACTGATACAAATAGTTAAATACATTATTTTTAAAATGCATACATAAGATATGTTCAAAATCAAATCCCTGTATCATCGTAAGCACAGATATTATATTATATTAGAGTCCGTTAGTTTTCTGTTCCCGCGCGTTCCCTTCCCCTCCCTAACTAGTAACAAACGGACTGTACAGCGGCCTTGACGCGCGCGCGCATTGTGTTGTGAATTAAAATAAATTAGAACTGTGTTAACCTACTGTGAAGCTGGAAAGCTAGCGAAGATACCTTCGAGACCCTGAAGCCCAAGAAATCCGCAGAACCATAAAGGTAAATAACTGATGCTTCCCTAACATTTTGGTAGCAGAGTAGTTTCCCAAACAATATACATAGAAAACACTTAGACCAATACAAATACTCATACTCATGAATTACATATGTGTGCACCGTGCAAGGAATCGAACCCGTGTAGCATAGCAATCTAAACTAGACTACCGAGTCTATGTCAAAATACCGTCATAGTAAATTATAGGCTATGCTATGACACTTTGTTTTTCAGGAAGGGCGTCATGTTGACGTATATATACTACGATTGCCTCAGTCCCTTAGGTGGGCCGAAAGAAAATTTGCTATTCTATAATAGTAACATAAAAAAACTACCGACTAACTTACTAACTAATAGTAATATTATTATCTGCTGTTATAATAAGTTCAGGAGTTCGGACACGAGACGCCTACAGTTGTCTTGTTTCTCTTCATCGTTTACTTGGTTACAAAAACTTTTTAATTCGCATTCACTCTCAGATTCTTATGTCGAAAAACTTATAGCGAAATTAGATATATGTACATCAAATTAATTGAAATAATAAATATAGATAGACTATTACTATTAAGGGTAGACCCTTAAATTATATAAATAGTAGGTAATAGGTAAATATTATTATTTATCTATTACCTACTATTATTACGGGTAAATAATGGTAGATCATTTTAAAAATCTAATGTAAACTTTCGGGGGGAAGGGGATGTTAATAATGTGGACTAGTAACCCTATTGCCAGCAATGTACTATAGTAGATTGACCTCCACGCAGTTTCCCCTGGAAACCACCGTAATAAATTCCTTATGAATTTACCACGATGGGTTAACTGATCTTACTCATCCTCCACTGGTGCCCCACCAGCGTAAAACGTAAGCGTAGGCGGATGTACCATTCCACTATCACCCATAAAAATGGAAGCTTTCCTCTATTTATTATACAAAAAGTAGTTTTTAAAACCTTCAAACCATGTATATGTTACATGTAATATTTTAATTATATAGGTAGCACTATTTGAGCTCTTTTTATTTCTACTTCTACATTTTCGAATTCGAATTTCAACCCTAACACTTTATTTTAGAGGCTTAAATGTAAAAATTACAAATTGGCATATTTTTGGCGTCTTCCCAATGTATTTAGGCTGTGCATTCATATTTGAATACTAATGAGTCAATTGGAACAAAACATGTACACAAAATGTATATAAAATAAATAATTCTTTAGACAATTTATGAAATGAAATCTCAGAGAGCGTATAAATCATATCCAATTAGTAAGATTATACGATGAATGAACAAAATGTCAAGTTAGCGGGCCAAACAGTAATTATGTAAAAAGGTTATATTAAAAAATTAATTAGAACAGAGAATATGAGGTTGGGGCATAAAATAATCACTGCAAAGGTCACGCTGAATATCTGCAGGGAGAATTTTCATCTATTCTAATATTATAGTATAAAGGAATAAAAGATTTCATTCTGTATGTATTTTGGGTAATAAAAAAATAATGGACCGTTTTTTTACAGCACCGCATTAAAAAAATGTTTTGAGGTTCAAATCAAACTGCGTGGAGGCTGAAATACATACCTACCAGGACCTGTATTTCGGTTATAGGATCCAGATTAAGCCGTGAAATTACAGAATAAGAGAGGTGACATGTTAGGCCTCTGGAATGACAACACGTGAGTGATACCATGGTTGTCATATGGTAACGTAATTTTGGAGCTGTATTTCGGTTGTAGGATCCAGATTAAACAGCGAAATAACCTGACATGTTAGTCCTCTGGAATGACGTCACATGATAACGTGATGGCCATAGTGTTATTTATGTATAAAGATCGTTTACCGTTTACCACCAGGTAGATCGTCAGCTTGCCATTCCAAAAACATAAATAAGAAGATCCGACAGAGAGACATTTCTGTAAATTTCAAGAATCATACGGAAATGTCTCTCAGTATAACAAATATCTCTTAATAGGACCCGACTTTTTTTGTCTACCTACAAAAGATAGGAGCATATTGAATTATGACTTCAGGAAGACAGTTTGCCTTATAATTTCTCCGGCGGAAGGCGA